CATGATATTTTTTTGTAAATTTGGCATACATATCAAAAGTCTTAGGTCTCATTTAAAACAAAAAAATATGTGGAATTCTTCATGATATTTTTTTGTAAATTTGGCATACATATCAAAAGTCTTAGGTCTCATCATGTATCTTTTTTAATAAGATTTAGACGTCTGAATTTGAATACATATTTAAATATTACGATGTACATAAAGATTTAGATATCTAAATATAACTATTTTAATATTGAGATATTATATTAAGATCTGAATATTGTATAATCAAAATTGTTTGTAAACATTTGAATATATAAATTTTATCTTTTTAAGAGAAATTAATAAATATTAAATTTAATAAATACTAAATTAATCTAATATAATATTAATAAAAATATTTTTTAATAATTATATGGAGGTTGGAGATGGTAAGGGGTAGCGGTAGTGGTTCTTGTGGGTGCTGGATTGGGATGGTGTTGGCTAATGATGTTATTATAGTTATGTAATAGCTAGTGGTACTGGTGGTTGGAAATAGTGATTAATAGTTGTATGTAATGGATGATAGTAATAGTTAATAATGGTGATAATTGTCAGTAGTGATTGGTGATTGTTGTGGCAATAATGATCAATGTGATGATTGTAAATGGTAGCTAATGATGATGATGACGGATTGTAGTGATTGATATTTGATAGCAAAAATGGTGGTGGTTGTGGATGATGCATAGTGGTGAATGATGATGGTTAGTGATAGTGGTACATAATAGTTGATAATAACGAACGATGACAATAGTATAAACAAATGGAATTGATGAATTGTTACCTTTGTAGAAATTTTTGAAAACACATCTTAATGAAACTAATATTTTGATATAGATCTAAAAATAAATAAATCTAATGACTGAGCTCATAATAATTAAGATTATGATTATCATTAAGTGCAGATAATAAATAAAAATAATTTGACAATATAAACATTTTCTTATACTACGATTTATATATAAGTCAAACACATTAACCAAAAAAAATGGATGATTGAATCCAAGTCTAATTGGCTGACATTGTTGAAGTCATACCACTTTATGCATATGTAGCATGTGATTTTATTAAATAACAATATAAAATGATAATCATAAGAAAAATTGTTTTTTATTCATAGTATAATTACTATTTAAGTCAATCTACATTAACTAATCAATAGATTCTCCTAGTATTGTTTGAAACTAATTATATTATTAATCAATTGTTCAAGATTTGATAGTTAATATTTGACGATCGTTGAGATTTATGACAAGAAAAATATGACGAATTATCAACATTTGGTAGTCAGACTTTGAGTTTGTTCTTGGACCTCTAGTTGGGCTTCTCTTAATTGAGCCCAAAATCAAGTGGGCCAGTCCATACCAAAATCAAAGCAGGTTTCAAAGGGGTTTCAAATTTCAAGCAAAAGAATAAAAAGTTCAAAAATGTAATATATATATATATATATATATATATATATATATATATATATATATATATATATATATTTATATATATAATTTTATTCCTATGTATACAGTGTAATTTCTCGACTAGCTCCGTTACCACCAAGGATTTGGTGAAATTCCCTTGCCCTTAATTAGAAGTATTGGTCTCAAGTCTTGTGGATAAGAAAACCCTGGTACAGAGCGTTTTCCCTTCGGTAATGTCAGGATTTGAAGTTAATTATGAATTTTGAACTTGCCATCAAATTCATAGCATGATTTAATTATTGGGTTCCCTCCACCTTCAGTAAGAGATCTCGAATTCAAGTTTTGAGAATGAACAATACTCTGATAAGGACACTGTCCTCCAAAGACGAAGTCAATATATGAAGTTTATGAATTCTATGACTAACATGTAAATTAAGTTGATAAAAGAAACTTCTATTATCAACAAAAACTTCTTGACTTTCTACAACATGCATGTAATGACCTAATTAAATGCAATTCCTTGGACCATCAAATGGAATAATATTTACTTCCTTCATTTCATTCTAGGTATTTTTATTTGATTGACCACAAAATACTTTAAAAAAAAATTGTAATCATAAATTAAACATTTGTATAATGTATCAAAATATTTCTTGAATTCGTGATCTTGAATAATATAGTGAGATGCTAACTATTTTTCTTTGTAAGAAGTGATTTCCAAATAAGTATTTCCATAGAGTAGCAATTTGTTTTTAACTAATCAATTTGAAAAAACACATTTATCAATACCGTTGTCGAGTTTGTGTTTGGCGAAGATTCCAAAGATATTTACTAGTATTTCCAGAGAAAATACACTTTTTCAACTTCTTCTCTTCTCAATAACATTTATTTTTTTCCCTAAAAGTTTAAAAAAACATTCTAACTCTTTAAAATAAGCACCTTTAATTTTCTAAAAACTTAGCCAAACATTCTTCAAGTATAAACATGATCTTATTTTTTAAAACAAAAAAAAAAAACACGTAAATTGAAACAAAAAGTCCTAAAGTGGAAGACTTTGAAAATATTATTTTCTAGTCCCCACAAAAATAGTTTACTTTGAATAGTTATTAATCTTAGTTTTCTACAAAAACAAAATATAGTTGTTCAACATTAATGCACTTTATCATGATTAACTAATAAATAATTAAGGCCAAAACACAAACTAATTGATCATAGTTAGATAATACCTTCTTAAAGCGAAAATCTTAAGCGAATGATTATACACCTTTAATATGGTATTAAATTAGACACTATAACAAAAATAGCTTTTAGCGGCAACAAATATACACATTATCAAATAGTGATAAATTTTTTACCAACATTAAAAATATGTTTTTAACGACAATTCAGTTATTGCCGTTAAATAATTACCGCTAAAGATCATTACATCATAAGTCTTGAGGTTGTCTAACAAAAAGAGATTTATCTATGATTTAAAGCATAGAAAAAAAACCATTTTACATATGAAAATGACATGCTAGAGACATAATTAAATAAAAAATATCTATATTATATTATATTATACTACTAATATATTGAAGTTTAGTTGAGATGGATGACAACTTAGGTAATGGTTTGTCTTTCTACCAAAATTTCTTCTTGGTCAAAGAGCTCTCTTTTGACAAGTAGAGAATTTTTTATAAACACATAAATATTTATGACATATTTAAATACACCAATTTCAAAAAGCTTATAGCCTCACAAAATATTTTTAGATCACAAATTTTAAAAAGGCATAATACATAAATGTGCCCTTTAACTTGGTCTCATTTTACAATTATGTCCTCCAGCTTTGGTATACACAAGTAGACACTTAAACTTGTATAAAATTGAACAAGTAGACACATGAGTACGACATGATAAAATACACGTAAGACACCACGTAGGATAAAAAATGATATGTAGGATGTCATTTAGGGCATGAGTGTCTATTTGCTCAACTTTATACAAATTCAAGTGTCTATTTGCACACCCAAAATTGAAGGGCATAAATGTGATTTGAAGCCAAGTTAAAGGACATATTTATGTATTATGCCTTAAAAACTACTCATTGTTTAATTTTTTTTTTTATGTTGAGACAAACTATGTCAGGTTAATTAAAAGGGAGTATCTTGTTTTCTTTTCCTACTACATTGATAGATGTCTTAACTTGACCTTAATTAATAACTAACACATATTTATAATAGGCATAATACATAAACATGATCCGTAACTTATTTTTAGCGGACAATTATGCCCTCCAACTTTGAGTGTGCACAAGTAGACACTTAAACTTGTATAAAACTGAACAAGTAGACACATGTGTCCTACGTGACATAATGCATGTAGGACACAAATTGTCATGTAGGACGAATGAGTCTATTTGTTCAATTTTATACAAGTTAAGTGCCTACTTGTGCATATCAAAAACTAAAGGTCATAGTTGTCAGTTGATGCCAAGTTAAGAGTTATGTTTATGTTATTATGTATTATGCCTTTATAATATGACATTTAACTTGGCTTCATTTGACATCTATGCCCTCCAACTTTGGATGTGCATAAGTAAACACTTAAATTTGTATAAAATTGAAGAAGTAGACATACACATCCTATGTGGCATAATGCACGTAGTACACCATGTAGACACAAAATTTCCATGTAGGATGCCACATAAGACGAATGTCTATTTGTTCAATCTTATATAAATTTAATTGTCTACTTGTGCATACTCAAAATAGGAGAGCATAAATACAAAATAAAGTTAAGTTAAAGGGCTTAGATCCAACTTTTAGATTGCACGATTAGACATCTCAACTCATTCCCACATAATCCCACTTATGTCTAATGGGATGTTCCTAAGTTCTAAGTGTTGCATATGGTAGGATTTTTGGTCATTCAAGTAAATTTATTGTCTTGAAATATCCTTAACATTTGCCTTATGGACAAAAATTAAAATTTCCTAAAGGAAAGACTAAGTTTAACTTTTTTTTTGTTAAAGCAGGATTTAACCCAATTTATTAACTCGATCTATTTTGATTCGACAGTATAACACTTGTAGAGCCCACCCAGTGGCGGAGCCACATGTAGTTGAGGGGTGTCGACCGACATCCCTTCGTCTCAAAATTACACTATGTAGCTAGAGTGAAAATATTTTTTATGTATATATATATATATTAAATATTGACACTCCTTAACTTCTACGTGATTTTACTTCTTTATATTTTGACACTTCTTAGTCAAAGTTCTGACTCCGCCACTGGCCTCACCGTACCAATATGTTAAGAGGGGAAGTTTCAGTTAAAAGAGGCGCGTCCTTTCAAAGTCTTCATAGCTGATTTGCAACTGTTTTTTTTTTTTAGTCTTTTCTTTAGAAAAAAATGAACACAAATAATCTTCTTCTTTTTTCTAGTTGACTTCTCTCACAAATTTATTAATATAATCGACATTTTCATTTCCATTTTGATTCATTCATCAAAAAATAAAAAATTAAAAAAATTCCCTTCTTTTTTGTACCTTCATTTTCTCTCTGTTTCTTCATTACTCTGTTTCTACAACTTTGACAACAGCTGATCAGTTTGCCTCGACGATCTCTCTTCGTCGAGTCTAAATTCGACAAATTCTGAGCGCTCAGTGCTCAGAGGATCAAACTTTGTGAGTGTTCCTTTTTTTTTTTTCTTCCTTATTCTGTTTTTATCACTGATATGCAAATTATGTCTTAGTTTCTGAGCTGATGGTCTATCGGAAATAGTTTCTCTACTTTCGTTAGTTAAGAGTAAGGCTGGATACATTCTACCATCACTAGACTCCACTTGTGGGATTACATCGAATATGTTGTTGTTGTTGTTTTAGTGCAGAACCGTTATTTAATATTGGGAAAATGCATAAGTACCCCCAACCTATGCCCGAAATCCCACACTTATACTATACTAAGGTCCTATTACCCTTGAACTTATTTAATAAATAATTTTTTACCCCTTTTCGTCCTACGTGGCACTATCCACCAGGTAACTTGAAAAAATTGTCAAACGCGCTGGGCCCAGAAAATAGTGACACATAGGCCGAAAAGGGGTAGAAAATTATTTATAAAATAAGTTCGGGGTAATAAGACCTTAGTATAGTATAAGTGTATTTTTGAGATTTCGAGCATAGGTTGGGGGTACTTATGCATTTTCCCTTTAATATTTGTTAATAAAAAAAATACTTGAAATTTTCCTAAGGAGTAAATGAACATAAGAGAAAACCATGTTTCCGGTGGATGTTTTGTCTTTAACCAGAGGTCTCGGATTTTGAACTTTAGGAAATAAAAGAGAAATCTGTTCAGCTGTGTGAAAAAACGATTGCTCATTTCACTGGTATTGAAGATTTTTGTATAAAATCTGCAAAAATGAAGATTAACAATAATACAGTTTTGACTTAAAATAAATAGAACCAATTTTCCATGTGAATGCTAAATATTTAATATTGTTTGTTTGCTCAACACCTGAATATATAAACCTTGTCAATATTTAAAAATTAATAAACGATATTACTGTTGGATCTAACTCAACCCCAAAAGTCAGCTCAAGCAGAAAGTATTATCCAAGTCCATATAAACAGGTCTAGCTCAATGTAGGATTCTAATATCCCCTTCATGCCTGGGCCCAAACTGGAGTGTGGATCAGGTGCCCGAACATGAATGAATATGACTTCGTTACCATGTTAAATTATGACATCTGGGCTTAACTTAATCCCAAAAGCTAGCTCAAGAGGAGATGATTGGCCAAATCCATATAAACATCACTAGTCTATTCCCCAATCAATGTGCCTCGGTCCAAGAATGTGCACATACCGAACTGGGTTGGGCCCGTTATAAGGCTTGAACAATCTCCTCCCTTTGATCTAGTTTTTGGGGTGTGAGTTAGGCCCAAAGCCTAATCCATGAATGTGCCCGCACCGGATTTGGTTGGGGTCCTTGTAAGGCGTGAACAATCCTCCTCCCTTTGAGCTAGCTTTTGGAGTGTGAGTTAAGCCCAAGGCCTAATTTGACAATTACGTAATTCATTTAATACTATATCAAGAAGAGAAGCAGTTTGTGGTGGTGGTGGGTAGTAGCTGACAGTAGTGGTTGTCAGTTGATGGTGGTAGTTGGTGGTGGCTACAGATAATTGTGGTTGATAGTAATGATAGCTAATGATGGTAGTGACTGATACGGTGATTGACGATATATAGTAGTGACTGATGGTGGTGGGATTATCTGTAGTGATTGGTGTCTATTTTTGTCAGTTTAATGTTACATCAATTAGTCCTCTTACATTGTTTTCTCTGTTGTACAGTTCATTTGGCAAAATGGAGATACCAGCCCCTTCAATTTTATGTAGCCTCTTTGTTATTGTGTTGATCCTACTTCTACCAGATACATCAGTGTGTGAACCAAGATCGCAGACCGTCCAGATCACATGTAGTACTCAACTCGAGCATAATACGACAGTTTTTGTCCCAAATTTTGTTGCAGTTATGGAAACTATAAGCCAACAAATGAGAACTAGAGGATATGGAGTTGCAGTTTCTGGCACTGGACCAGACACTAACTTTGGACTTGCCCAATGCTATGGTGATCTTTCTTTACTCGACTGCGTGTTATGCTATGCTGAAGCACGAACGGTTCTGCCCCAGTGCTTCCCTTATAACGGAGGGCGAATTTATCTTGATGGATGCTTTATGAGAGCGGAGAATTACACGTTCTATGATCAGTATTTAGGTCCAGAGGACAGACATGTATGTGGAAACAGGACGACAAAGAGTACATTGTTCCAACAGAACGCTAGGCAAGCCATTCAGCAAGCAGTTGTAAATGCACCGACTAATAATGGTACTGCACGTGTTCAAGTGTCGGTGTCTGGTCCTTCCAACGAGACAGCTTATGTTCTAGCTGATTGTTGGAAGACACTGAGCGCGAATTCCTGTGCAGCATGTCTGCAAAATGCATCTGCATCCATGTTGGGATGCTTGCCTTGGTCAGAAGGTAGAGCTCTGTACACTGGATGCTTCATGAGGTATTCTGATACAAATTTTCTCAATGCTATTTCTGTCAGTGAAGGCTCGTCATCAGGAGGTAATCTTTGCTCTTTTCTCGTCCTGGTTTGCCAGTTATTTATTGACTCAACGCGTAATTTAGCTGATAAATGGTCTTTTTTTCTTTCAAATGACGATATTGTAGGAAACGTTGTTGTCATTGTAATCGTTGTTGTTAGCTCCGTGGTCGTATTGGGAGTAGGTGCTGTCATTGGTATTTATGTCTGGAAGAACAAACAAATCCAGAAGAAGAGAAAAGGTAAATCCTTTTGTGTCAAATACTAGTGATAAAGTCATTAGGATATCAATGATGAACATGTATTGTATCTTTATGATAATATTCACCTGAGAATATATCGCGCGATCATTTGCACACAACTGTACTGAAAGCAATTTTCAAGAACTAACTCGAGGCATTATGGTCTACTTGTGCTTTTCCGGGAAAATTTGAACTTTGTAGGTGCAAATGACGCGGAGAAATTAGTGAAGATCCTTAATGACAACAGCTTGAACTTCAAGTATTCTACACTTGAAAAAGCCACAGGGTCATTTGATGAGGCCAATAAGCTCGGGCAAGGTGGATTTGGCACCGTTTATAAGGTACGAAATGGTTGAAAAGTTGTAATGCAATACTAGAAGTGTTCATGTTAAACAAAGTCTGAGGCACGGTTTATTGCAGGGTGTTTTGGCAGATGGCAGAGAGATTGCTGTCAAAAGGCTGTTCTTCAACAACAAACACAGAGCTGCAGATTTTTATAATGAGGTTAACATAATCAGTAGCGTTGAGCACAAGAATTTGGTAAGGTTATTGGGATGCAGCTGCTCAGGACCGGAAAGTCTTCTTGTATACGAGTTCCTCCCTAACCAGAGTCTTGATCGCTTCATATTTGGTAAGTAACCGGACTTTGCAACAACACAACTACTCCTCGGTCTCAAAAAAAGTTGGGATCAGCTATATGAATCTACACTATTCCATTTAAGCAAAACTCATTTCATATTTGATTTAAATCTTTAAATTGACAGATTCTATCAAAGGTAAAGCTCTAAACTGGGAGAAAAGATTTGAGATAATCATAGGGACCGCGGAAGGTTTGGTATACCTCCACGAAAACACAAAGACACGAATAATTCACAGAGACATAAAAGCAAGCAACATCCTGTTGGACTCGAGGTTCCGTGCAAAGATTGCTGATTTTGGGTTGGCAAGGTCATTCCAAGAAGACAAGAGTCACATAAGCACTGCCATTGCTGGCACATTGTTAGTATTTCTTCGTCTCGTTTTCTACTTTTGTCGCGTAAAAGTACATGAAAACCAATATTGTACAATATGTGCAGAGGATATATGGCTCCAGAGTACCTAGCACATGGCCAATTAACAGAAAAAGCAGATGTTTACAGCTTTGGAATTCTTCTACTCGAAATCGTTACTGGAAGGCAAAATAACAGGAGCAAACACGTCGAATACACAGACAGCTTAGTTTCCATTGTAATTTTTTATCACACTATTTTCAATCTTGAAGAACTTATTGCATATTGGTCTTAACTCTTATATTCGATGAAATTAACAGGCGTGGGAGCACTTTCAACGCGGGATAATGGAGAAGCTGTTTGATCCGAATCTCATGTTGAATAACAACCATACAATCAATGTGAAAAATGAGGTCACGAGAGTCTTACATGTCGGACTTTTGTGCACTCAAGAGATCCCAACGTTACGTCCATCCATGTCTAAGGCATTACAAATGTTCGTCAAGAAAGATGAAGAGTTGCCTCCTCCTACTAATCCGCCATTCGTGGATGAGAAAACCATGGAACTTCACGACCCTTGGGATAAGTACTTGCTTAAACAAGGCGATTCTGCTTCGATTGCCAACTTATCTCACAGTTCTTTTTACCCCAGATGATGATATCTCTGTGCTCCTGAACTGAAAGTGATGTAAAGATTATAGTTATCTCAAGCATATATATCATTTCGCCTCGTGTTCTTGAAGGAGACTTCATCGTTATCGAGCAGTTAGTTACAACAACAACGACAACTATGTTTCTATCCCAAACAAGTTGAGCTCGGCTATATGAATTCTCAATATTCCATTTTAAGCTCAACTCATGATCGAGCAGTTAGTTGTAAGTTCAAAACTTCATAATACATTTTTCAATTTTTTCATATTTTATTTGTCGCGATTTGGAAAATATTTTATTTAGGAAAACGACTTTCCTAGTGGAATTTGAGAAAACGAGTTCCGCAAATGACATCCCAACTATGTTGCCTTCCACATGTCTCTTTTTTTTTTTGTTGCTTTTATTGCTTCCACTTCTTTGTTGTCTAAGTGGAAGGGTAGAGATAAGTAGGGTTGAAGGAGTTCATCTGAACCTCCTTCGGCGGAAAATTATACTATTTATACATGTTTTATTTTCCTTTTTTATTTATGTTTTCATATTTTGAATCCTTGAGCGAAAATGCTAGCTCTACTACTGCCTAATAAATGACATACCTCGATCCCTAATCACTTTATCCAGTATTTTAAAAGGCGGGGGCATGAGGCGAGACGTTTTATATAGTACAGAGCGAGGCGTAAGCCCCGAGATATGTAAGTCCCATGGATCTACGGGGCGTAGTCTCATATATATTCAATTTTATAGTTTTATTACTAATAAAATAAGCAAAAGTAAACATTTTAATGATTTATGATTTTTATTTGAGATAAGTATTAATAATCAATAATGAAAAAAAAAGTATTATAATTAATATTTGAGAAATATAATTACACCAATAAAAAAATATGATTTAAAGCAAAAAAAAGTTCAAAAAAATAAATTAAAAACGCCCGGGAGTACGTTTTTTACGCCCAGGACTTACGTTTTTATGCTCGGGGCTTACACCTCAAATTTTAGGACTTACGCCTTATGGATCTACGTTTTTAATATACGCCCCGCGGCATTTTTGGTACACCTCGCCCCGACACTTGCCCCAAAAACGATTTTGAAAACACTGACTCTTTATCAAAACATATATCCAACATATTAATTTCATTTTAAAATTTCGTATTAAATCAAACAGTGTCACGCTAATTGAAAGAGGAGAAGTATCTTTTTTCTTCTCCTCTTTACCTAATTTGTTTGGGCAGTAAGCAAAGTAGATTACGAAAGCAGCCCCACAAATATCTTTTGAAGTCTTTCAAAGTAGTACGTTTTTAAGTCTTGAGTTGGAAATTTTCTAACAACAAAGTCTTGCCACCTGTTGACTTTTCTCAACAAAAATAAAAATTACTTCCTCCATTTTAATTTGATCATTGATTTTGACTTGATACGAAATATAAAAAAAAAATTAAGAATATTATGATTTTAAATTAAAAATAAATAGATAGAGGTAAAAGACTAAAATATGTCATCAAATTTTGAGAAAAAAACTCATATATACCATCCGTTAAAAAATTGATTTATTTATGTTATTTCCGTTTGAGAAAAGGCTATCCATGTCATTATTTGTTATCCGAAATGACATAAATGAACTTAACTTTTAACAAATGATATAGATGAGTCTTTTCTCAAAGTTTGATGACATATTTGAGCATTTTTTATCTCTTTTAAAAAATAATTTAATTAGTGACGTGTTGAATCATAATCAACCATGTGTAAAAAATAGTTTTACAGAATTGAACGAAAATGACATAGATAAACATTTTCTCAAAATTTGATGACATATTTGAGTCTTTCCCTAAAATATAGTACCAAATAAAGAATTGACGGAATAAAATGAAAAGTTGGATGAACAAATTGAAATTGAAACCAAGAGAGTTCAAAGCTTCTTGTTCGAATTTTATTGAGTATAAAATCAATCTTTTATTAGAAAATATTTTACCACAAATCCACAATAGAAAAAATTTAAATATGAATTCAAATTTAGTCGGTCTCCGACTTTCCGTACCGATAGCGTCATACTGACACCAAATTGGGAAGCCAAAAATAGTATAAAAAGCCACTTTGATCATTTTCATCAATAAAACAAATTTTACTTTCTTTTTTCTTCCTTCATCTTCTACTCTTTTCTCTCTGTTTCTACAACTTTGACAGCAACTGATCAGTTTTCACCGGCGATCTTTGTTTTCCGATTCAAAATTCCGGCGAAATCAGATCGTCCAGTGCTCCGAAGGACTTTGTAAGTTTTGTTGCTTCCTACTTATTATGTTTTCAATTATGATCGAAATCTCAAAGAAACACTTTAACTAAACTATGGTCCTATTACCTCCATACTAATTTTTTTGTAATTTTAACTTTTTAGCTTACATGGCACACTCCGTGATTCTACGTAGTTGAGACATGGGGGAGATGTTTGGATGCCACGTAAGCAAAAAAGGTGTACAAAATTACAAAAAAAATGGGTTCAAGGTAATATGATCTTTTACCTTAGTTTAGTTAAGGTGTAAGGTGTGTTTATGAGATTTTGAGAATAATTGTGCCTTATTGTTTTTTTTTTTTTTAAAGAGTAATTTTGATGAGAAATCATTTGTTTTTGGCCAATTAATGTTGATCAAGAAGTGTTTCTTGGATGAAGTTATCTTTCTAAAACCTTTTATTGTTTCAAGGGAAAAAGTACAAGTACCCCTAGCCTATGACCGAAATCTCAGAGACTCCACACAGTTGAGGCGCGTGAGAGATATTTGGATGCCATGTAAGTCAAAAGGTGTACAAAATTACAAAAAAAATGAGTTTAGGGGTAATAGGACGTTAGTTTAGTTAAGGTTTGTCTATGAAATTTCGGTCATAGTCTAGGGATACTTGTACCTTATCCCTTGTTTAAAAGTTATTTTGGCTTAAAATCACCTGAAATAAGTCAATACACACATGTTGTAAGTAAGTTTTCTCAAGAGTGTTTTTCAAAAAAGTAGTTTAAATTTAAAACTTTTTTTTTAATTTTCGAAAAACAACTTCTGTTGCTCCTCGAAAACACTTTTTTTCTTCTAAAAGTTTGGTCAATTACTTCAGTTATATAAAAGACACTTAAACTTGTATAAAATTGAACAAGTAGACACACGTGTCTTTGTAGCATAATACACATAGGACGCCATGTAGGACAAAATTGCCATATAGGACGCCATGTAGGACGAATGCGTCTATTTGTTTAATTTTATACAAGTATAAGTGTCTACTTGTGCACAACCAAAGTTAAAGGTCATAGTTGTTGACTGAAGTCAAGTTAAGAGTCATGTTTATGTATATGCCTTTTTAAAATAAGCAATTTTGACCTTCCAAATCTGCTCGTTTCTTTTCTTTTTTCTTATTCAGTTTACTTGAAATTTGGTGGAACACCTAAAGACCAACCTAAACTAAGCATGAATTAGTTGAATGCCTAAACTATCAGTAGTCTTAATTACCCTAAAAGGATGGGATTGTGCGGGATAAAAACTATCAAATAGCCAAGTTTGGGGGTGATTTAGAATTCTAATAGTTCAGGGTGCAACTAATAATTTGTGTAAAGTTTAAGGGGCCACAAATATTCTACCTTGGAAAAAGAATATTTATTAGCCATCAACTATTTTGAGTTGTGTATTACATCTTCTTCGAACCAACAATGTAAAAGAAACTCCATTACATTTAGTCAAGTAAAATTTCTAGCCTAAACAATGGAGTTCAAAGTTTAGGCGAAGTTTTGAGGTATTATGCCATTTGAATTACCCCGTCTGCTTTTACTAATATTAAGACTTTTTACTAATATTAAGACATCCAAATTTGAATACACATCTCAATATTAAGATATGTATTAAGATTAAGATGTTTGAATATAAATATATAATGTTGTATTGAGATATGAATACTAAATAACTGAATTTATAAAATTTGTCTTTAATTAAAAATTAATAAATATAAAATTCAAATAAAATGTTGATTAATCTAATACTATATGATCAAATTATTTTAGAAACTTTATATGATTGTTGGTGGTGATGGTGATCAGGTGATGGCTAATAGTGGTGATTGTGGGTGTCAATTACGGATTGTCATTGGCGATAATGTTGGTTGATGCTAGTGATGATGGTGGCAATAAAGGCACATATAATGACTAAAATCCAAAGGATTAAGACTCAGACATTCATTAAATGCAAACAGACGCGGCCTATGTTGTTTTTCTTACACTGTTTTCTATGCTTTACAGCTCATCTGGCAAAATGGAGGGAGCTACCCCTTCAGTTTTATGTAGTCTCTTTGTTATCATGTTGATCCTACTTATACCAGATACATCAGTGGCTGAACCAAGATCCCAGATAATCCAGCTTATACGTGGCAACAGATTGACAGCTTCCGTCCCAAATTTTGTTGGTACAATGGAAACGTTGAGTGAACAAGTGAGAGCTAGAGGATATGGAGTAGCAGTTACTGGCACTAGACGAGATGCTACCTATGGAATTAGCCAATGCTATGGTGATCTATCATTACTCGACTGTGTCTTATGCTTCTCTGAAGCGCGAACGGTTCTGCCCAAGTGCTTCCCTTATAACGGGCGAATTTATCTTGATGGCTGCTTTATGCGAGTGGAGAATTACATGTTCTATGACCAGTATTTAGGTCCAGAGGACATGCATGTATGTGGAAACAGGACGACCAAGGGTACATTGTTCCAACAGAACGCTAGGCAAGCCATTCAGCAAGCAGTTGTAAATGCACCGACTAATAATGGTACTGCACGTGCTCAAGCGTCAGTGCCTGGTCCTTCCAATGAGACAGCTTATGTTCTCGCCAATTGTTGGAAGACACTGAGCGCGAATTCCTGCGCAGCGTGTTTGCAAAATGCATCTGCATCCATGTTGGGATGCTTACCTTGGTCAGAAGGTAGAGCCCTTTACACTGGATGCTTCATGAGGTATTCTGATACAAATTTTCTCAATGCTATTTCTGCCAGTGGAGGCTCGTCATCAAGGGGTAATTTTTACTCTTTTTTTGTCCTGGTTTGTCCGTTATTTACCGACTGAACTGTAATTTTGCTGATAAATGGTTTTTTTTTTTTTACGTTCAAATCACCATAATGCAGGAAAAGTTGTAGTCATTGTCATTGTTGTTGTTAGTTCCGTTGTCGTTTTGGGAGCAGCTGCTTTCGTTGGTTTTAGTATCTGGAAGAACAAACAAATCCAGAAGAAGAGAAAAGGTAAATACTTTTATGCCAAAATTTAGTTATAAAAGTCATTAGGATAGTTAAATGATGCACATATATTGTATTTTTTCTAATTTTTTTTTAACCCTCCCTAGGAGCTCCCACCCCTTTTGCTCCCTTAGTGACTCGAACTCGCAACCTTCGGGTTGGAAGTGAGGGGTGCTTACCATCCGAGCAACTCCCTCTCGTCTATCTTTATTCTAAAACTTAGAATTAAAAAATTGAACTTTTTAGGTGCAAATGATGTTAAGAAATTAGTGAAGATCCTTGATCAAAACAACTTGAACTTCAAGTATTCGACACTTGACAAAGCCACGGGTTCATTTGACGAGGCCAACAAGCTCGGACAGGGTGGATTTGGCACGGTTTATAAGGTATGTAATGGTTGAATGTAGTGTGATTATGTTAACAGCAATGCAAAAAGTGTTGGCAATTAGATAGAGTCTGAGTCACATTTTGTTGCAGGGTGTTTTGGCAGACGGGAGAGAGATCGCTGTCAAAAGGCTGTTCTTCAACAACAAACACACAGCTGCAGATTTTTATAACGAGGTTAACATAATCAGTAGCGTCCAGCACAAAAATTTGACAAGGTTATTGGGATGCAGCTGCTCAGGAACGGAAAACCTTCTTGTATACGAGTTACTCCCTAACCAGAGTCTTGATCGCTTCATATTTGGTAAGTAACTGGACTTTAACTACGTGTCCGTCCCAAACAAGTTAGGGTTTAGCTAAACAAACCCTCACTATTCTATTTAAGCTAAACTCATGTCTATCATTGCACCAACTAAAAAAAAAAGTACAAATAAGTTAAACATAGGTAACCGACTTTGCATTAAGCTAAGACTAAGTGGTGTGTTTTCACATAACCAGCACATGACTTTGTCATGTATATTGATTCTAACCTTAAAATTTGACAGACCCTATTAAAGGTAAAGCTCTAAATTGGAAGAAAAGATTTGAGATAATTATAGGGACAGCAGAAGGATTGGTATACCTTCACGAGAACACAGAGACACGAATAATTCACAGAGACATAAAAGCAAGCAACATCCTGTTGGACTCGAGGCTCCGTGCAAAGATTGCTGATTTTGGGTTGGCAAGGTCATTCCAAGAAGACAAGAGTCACATAAGCACTGTCATTGCTGGCACATTGTTAGTATTTCTTCGTCTCATTGTTTATTTTTTTCGCGTAAAAAGTACACAAAAACAAATAATGGATAATTTACCCTTTTTATGCAGAGGATATATGGCTCCAGAATACTTAGCACGCGGTCAGCTAACAGAAAAAGCAGACGTTTACAGCTTTGGAGTTCTTCTACTAGAGATTGTTACTGGAAGACAAAATAACAAGAGAAAAAATGCCGAATATACAGTCAGCTTAGTTTCCGATGTAATTTCTGATCAATCACTTCTCCGAAGAACCAAAATTTCAATCTTGGAGAACATTTTTGTTCATTGATCTTAACTTTATTGGATGAATTCAACAGGTGTGGGAGCACTTTCAACGCGGTATAGTGGAGGAACTGTTCGATTTGAATCTCATGTTGCATAACTACCATACAATCAATGTGAAAAATGAGGTTGCGAGAGTGTTACATGTGGGACTTTTGTGCACTCAAGAGATTCCATCATTACGGCCAGCCATGTCTAAGGCATTACAAATGTTCGTCAAGAAAGACGAAGAGTTGCCTCCTCCTACTAATCCGCCATTCGTGGATGAGAAAACCATGGAACTTCACGACCCTTGGGAGAGGTACTTGCTTAAACAAGGTGATTCTGCTTCGATTGCCAACATATCTCACAGTTCTTTTTACCCCAGATGTTGATATCTCTATGCTCCTGAACTGAAAGTGATTTAGAAATTATAGTTATCTCAAGCATACATATCATTTCGCCTCGTGTTCATGAAGGAGACTTCATCGTTATCGAGCAGTTAGTTACAACAACAATGACAACTATGTTTCTGTCCCAAACAAGTTGAGGTCGGCAATATGAATTCTCAGTATCCCATTTTAAGCTGAACTCATGATCGAACAGTTAGTTGTAAGTTCAAAACTTCATGATACATTTTTCAATTTTTTCATGTATTATTTGTAAGTGCAAGGGCAGAGGTAGGTAGGGTCGAAGGTGTTCATCTGAACCCCTTCAATAGAAAGTTATTCTATTTATACATGTTTAATTTTTTTATTTTTTTATATATACAATAAATGGTGAACCCTTTTCGATTTCTTCACATGGGCGGAGCTAGGTGGGGGTTCTTGGGTTTGGAAGAACCCAGTAGCTTTTTCGTAGATCCTGTATTTGTAACAGAAAATTTAATATATATATATATATATATATGTATATTAACTTGTGAACCTCTAACAAAACTGATTGACAACTTAGTGGTAAGGAAGAGGCCGTGAAAATGTTTTTTACACTAGAGTTGTGGGCTCAAATCCACTATCAACAAAAAGTTTAGAACCTCCCAACTCCTAATTCTAGCTCCGTCTCTGTAATAAATTCTTCATGTATTTACTTTTTTTATATTTTGAATTCTTGGATGAAAATGCTAGCTCCGCCATTGCCTAATAAGTGAGATATCCATATTCCTAATCACTTTATCAAAACGTATATCCTTACATGTTAATTTCGTGTCAAATCAAACAACGTAACGCAAATTAAAAGGAGAAGTATCTTTTTTCTTCTCCCCTCTTTATTATTTTGGTATGGGCAGTAAGTAAAGTAGTTAGGAAACCGGCCCTATTAAAGTCTTCAAAGTAGTATTCAAACAACAATGTCTTTCCTCTTGTTGACTTCTCTCAATTTTATTTTTACGTAAGTAAAGTAGTTAGGAAACCGGCCCTATTAAAGTCTTCAAAGTAGTATTCAAACAACAATGTCTTTCCTCTTGTTGACTTCTTCTCAATTTTATTTTTACTTTCTCCGTATTAATTTGTTCGTTTAGTTTTGACTTCACATTAAGGGTCCACTTGGCCATGCGATATAAATTATGATCTGAAATCATTAAATAGAGTCGAAGTTTTGTTTGGACATGTGATTTGGATTTTTTATGTTGTATATTTTATCATAAACATAAAAATCTTATAAGTTATAAAACTATTAAAATTGTCCCGATTCTTTATTCAATCTTACCAAATAAGTAAAGTTTATAAAATTCCATAATACACTATCGCAAAGATATTTTTAAAAATACAGTATTTATTGATCAAACTTTAATACAATTAAAAAAATAAAATTAAACATATACAAGTTGTGGTGTACTAGTCTTAAATATAGTTCTGCCACATAGTACATTCAATCTTCTCAGTTGAACTTGCATTTCTCATTCATATGACTGATAAGACGAACCAACATTGTTACTTTGAGTCATTTATGGTCAATTTGGTTGGTAAATTAATTTGATAAAAAATAATGAATTTGGTGAACATAAATGGTAAAGTTGAAACTGATTTGAAGTAGTAATAAATTATATGTTAGTGAGAATAATCATTATATGAGATGTATATGATTTAAAAAGTAATGATATGAATTATAAATTTTATTTACATATGAAATAAATTGTTAGTAGATATAAATGTGATGTTTTACAAAATATAAACTTGTATTTGAAAAATCTCAAATTTTGATTTTTTGAAAATTTGAGATTTCATCTGGAGATGAAATCAACGTGAAATCGCATGTCCAAACGCCTACCAAATTTAAAGTATTGTGAATATTATAAACTTAAATTAAAAATATATAAAACATACCAAAATACTGTTTAATCTTGTGGTCTTATACATATCGTATAGAAAATTAGAAATAAAGAGTTGACAGACTAAAACAGAAAGTTAGACAAACAAATTAAAATTAAAACAGAGAGTTCAAAATGATGAATACTTTTTCATCTTTAACTAGAAGTTTCTTGTTCGAGTTTTCTTGGATATAAATTTATCCTTGTTAGAAAATATTTTAGCCCAATATAAAAAATTTCAACATAAATCAAATTTAATGAGCTTCAATATAGATATCGTACACCAGATTCGGAAACCAAAAATAGTATAAAAGACTTCTTCACAAAGCCACCTTTGATTCATTTTCATCAATAAAACAAATTTTATTTCTTTATTTGTTCCTTTCATTTTCTTCAACGCTCTGTTTCTACAACTTTGACAGCAACTGTTTCTTTATTTGTTCCTTTCATTTTCTTCTCTTTTCTCTCTGTTTCTTCAACACTCCGTTTCTACAACTTTGACAGCAACTGATCAATTTTCACCGGCGATCTTTCAGTTTCGACTCGAAAATCGGGTGAATTCAGACTGTTTAGTTATCACAAGGAGTTTTGTGAGTGTTTCTTTTTTTTTTTCCTTCTTCTTCTGTTTTCACTAATTATTAAGTTGTTTGATCAAATTTCTAAAATTAGCTGGTATGGAAAAGTGTTTTTTCAAAAAATTATTTTTTGGTGAGAAATAATTTGTGTTTCATAAAAATAACTTGAGCAACAATTAATATTGGGAAAATGCATAAGTACCCCCTAGCCTATACCCGAAATTCCAGAGACACACCTAACCTTTACTAAGGTCCTATTACCCTCGAACTTAATTTATCTATAATATTTTACCCCTTTTCGGCCTACGTGACACTATCCTTGAAAAATTTGTCAACATGTGCTGGGCCCACAAGATAGTGCCATGTAGACCAAAAAGGGGTAGAATATTACATATAAAATAAGTTCGAGGGGTAATAGGACCTTAGTAAAGGTTAGGTGTGTCTCTGGGATTTCGGGCATAGGCTTGGGGGTACTTATGTATTTTCCCATTAATATTCATCAAACTTTTAAAAGTGTTTTTAAACTTATAAGCCTAACTTAATTTATGACTTTTTGATTTATTTTTGTTATTTGGCTTTAAAAAGGAACTTAAAATCACTTCGTTTATACACTATTATAAAGACATAATACATAGATATGCTCTTTAACTAGGTCTTATTTCACATTTGTGCCCTTTTAACTTTGAGTGTGCACAAAGAGTCGCTTAAACGTGTATAAAATTGAACAAATAGACAAATGGGTCGTATGTGACTTAATACACGTACAACCACTTAGGACACATATTGTCATGTAGGACGTCACATAAGACGTATGTGTCTATTTGTTCAACTCTATACAAGTTGTAGTGTTAAGTTGGGGGCATAGATATGTAAAGCATAGTACATAAACATGACCCTTAACTTGCCTTCAGCGGACAACTATGCCCTCCAAATTTGAGTATGCACAAGTAGACACTTAAACTTGTATAAAATTGAATAAGTAGACACGCGTTCCCTGAGGCTAAGTTAAAGGGTATTTATGTATTATGCCTATTATAAAAGTGTTTAAAGACTATTTTCACTTTAAAACACCTAAATAAGTCAATCCAAATAAGCTCTATAGTAAGTTTTCCTCAAAAGTATTTTCCAAAAATTACTTTATGGAAAAACTACTTTTTTTTAGCTTCTGAAAAATAGCTTCTGTTACACTGGAGAACTCAGCAGTTGTGGTGGACGGTAAGTACTCCCTACATTAACAGTTGTAACGGTACTGTGAACACCCAATAATTTAAGTATGAAA